CATAGTGGCACTTGGAAGTCTGGTCAGGCAGGTTATCTATAGCCAGGAATCTGCAGCTTTGCTCCAGGATTTAGGAGAATTCTCCAGTCTGCGGCTGGGGAACTAGTAGATACAGGCAGTGAGGTGGGAGTATTAGGAGATTACCAGGAAAGGAACCCAGGACAGAGGCCAAAGGGACAGCAAATGGGGTTCAAGCCTTGGATCTTGGAGTTGACCCTGGGCCACGATGTCGTGGATCAGAGGAGGTTGTAGGGGGGTGGGGGATATGAATGACACAAAGTGATGGCAGAATATGGACTGGACAGAACTGTGAGCCTGCAGAGGAGGAGAGCATAGGCCTCGATGAGGAAGCAGGAGCTGGGCATAAGAGTGGGTTCCTGAGCAGCAAGAAATCTGTTGTCTGCCTTGTTCAGGTGCACAATCATGGCCTCCACTAGCCCAGGTGGAGCCTTTGCATGAACTAAAAATGGTGCCTCCTTTGGGCAGACCAGTTGAGTACACACACCAGAGGCACATAGGTGCACCTTTGTTCAAAGAGAAAGGCACCACTTCCTCCTGCAGGTGCAGCCCACACCAGGGCACACAACTGGAGAACGGAGCCCGCACTAGATTCCAGCGCCCACTTGCTTAATTGGTCAGCATCTGTGTGCCATCCATAAAATGCACACCTGTCCGTGGATGCCCTGGGAACGGCTCAGGGAGAGGGCGTGTGAACCCACCTGTTCTTCCCGGCAGTGGGCAAGCCTAGACCTCCCAGCACGGAGCAGGGACCGTGGGTGGGCTCAACCCTGTGGTAGAGGAAGTGGTATTGGAATAAACTTGTCTTTGTGCTGTTGAAAACCAGCCCCCACACCTCAGCGGCCACCCTGCAGTATAGCCTGTAATTGATTCCTTGTTCATACAACGTTGGAATTTCAAGAATCGGTGCTAATAACACCCTTTCCCCTTCTTGCAGCTCCAGAGCCATAGCTGGAGAGAGAATGACAAGCTGGGTAGCCTTCGCCACAGGCCCCCAGCTAGAATCCTAACCTACAAGTTAAAATAATTATCAGTAACAGCGAACATTTAGGGCGCACATTGCAACTTACCAAGTGTTTTCACGTGCATTCTCTTGCTTGCTCCCTGTGAGGCAGGGATTCCTGGCAGTCCCTTCACAAACGAGAACACAGACTAGGTCTTATGTGGCCAGATGGTTGGTATAGCAGGATGTATGGGAATTCCCTGGAGCCTGACTGCCTGGGTTCCCATCCCAGTATGACCATTTCTTGGCTGTGTGACATGGTGCAAGTTGCTTTACCTTTCTGTACTTCAGTTTCTCTATGCATGAAATGGGGATATTAGTAGCTACCTCATGCACGAGGTGATTGTGGCAGTTAAAACACTTAGAACAGTCAGTGCCTAGCATGAAACAAGTGATCCCAGCATAGACGCTCTGCTTGCATAGCCTCATCTGGAAAACAAGATCCACCTAAGTGTGAAAAACCTCACATCTTTTGGCAGTCCATTTGTAGCACAAATAACACTGGATCAGATTGCAGCATCACATTTGGGAAATTTAATTCCTGATAAGTTTCTTGAGCACGACTTAGCCCCCACGAGACTGGGTACTCAGAGGAGGTGCCACAAATGCAGTTGACTGGGTTGAGGAGAGCAGGTGGAATGGGCTCTGGCTGGACTGGCCAGTATGTACCCTCTGCACAGAGGCAACTGGCCAAAGGTGGCCATTTTTCAGCAGAAGCCTAAAACCCTGACTTTTAATGTGAAATATCCTGATTTCCAACTTTAGCAATTCAAATTTCTTCTAAACACTGTGTGGGCCAGACCAGACCCAGCTGCATGCAGCCAGTTTGTGCCATGTCTCCCAGCTGCCCTCTCTGACGGCCACCCCTGGGAGCTTTTAGTGCCTGCGGCCTCACACGCTTCTCTCCAGGTTTGTCCTTATCTGTCCCATGATGGACACCACTCCACTTGGTCCTCTCCTCGAGGTCCATAGGTGGTAAAATGTCAGCCATGAACGTGATGGGTGTTCTACCTGGAGTACTTCAGAGGGAAGATGCCACAGAAAATCAATTGCTCAGTTGCCATGGGGGATGAAAAAGAGTGTGCTACATAAAATAAGATAAAATGAAACATGCTTTGGCATGTGAACATACAATGGGAAGTGTTTTGTCAGCTCCATACACAGGCAAGATGCCATGTGCTCACTAGAATTTTTTTAAATACTTCTCTCAGAGGAATGATTTGATACCACATGAAAACCCCTTATTAAGGGGAAGAACTTCAATGTGATCTCTGCCAACCTCTTGTGTTACAGCTGGAGAAGCTGAGAGAGTCCTGCATGAGATCCCAGAACTAGAACCCAACACAGGGTTGCCATGTGCTCACTCAGCCCATTCTTCATTTTCACGTGCAATGCCTGCTTTCCAGGGTCTGAGATTTCCCTCCTTGAGACAGATCCACATATGTGTCATCCCAAGCATGTTCTTATGAGGCACTCCCTGCAAACGCGAGATAATAACACAGTAGCTTACATTTGTAGGATGCCATATACGATCATCCAAGGACCCTCGTGTATTTTTCTTTCCTGACAGGAGCATGAGACATGAAAGCAAGAACCCGAGCCCAGGGTCAGGAGAGCTGGGCTGTCGTCTGCGCCACTGACAAGCTGTGTGACTTTGTGGGAGCTATTTGGCCTCTTCAGCCTCCTCTCTTCTTTTCTCACTTTGGATAATACCAGCCATGCCTTAGTATTGATATAATTATTATGAGCTTTCCCCAGCCACTGATTGAAGATATGTTGCTGAGTAACTGTGATGTGAGGCTCTGACTCCAGTCCGAGGATGCTTCTTGACTGACACCTTGAAAAATGACACAAGCACCCTGAATCCACCAAAGAGGAGAGTTGCACACGGAGAGACACACACAGCCTGCACGCACATCCATGCCCTGCCAGGTGGGGCAGGCAGAAGGCTGCTGAGTAGGTGGCCCTCAGGAACCCACCCCTGGCAGCTACCACAGTTCATTGCCCCTGTGTGCCAGATTTAAGGTCACCCAGGCCTTCCTGGCACTAAGGGCCAGCAAATGCCTTGCCTGGGGCTGGCAGCCCCTCTACCCAGCTGGCTACTGGCATGGAACGCCTTCTCCTTGACTTCTGAATCTATTTGGCAATCCTGGTGCAGGCTGAGACCAGACTTTTAGTAGTGAGTTATAGAGACAATGATCTCAGCAAGACCGAGGCAACAGGATTAGAGTTGAAGCCAGTCAGGAACCACGCCTGTGCTCACATGTGTGCTGACAAAGTTACACAAGCTAGTAGTGTCTAAACTTGAGGGCATCAACGTTGGAATTGAAAGGACTTCCCAGAAGGGGACAGCCAGAAACTGAGGAAGAAGAACTTTTGAGAGAATATATGGCAGGAACAGAATAGCCTGTGGCCTAGGCTAGCTGTATCATTGGATCCTAATTAACTTGGGAACATATCTTAGTCTTATGGACTATTGTTCCCTCCATTTATAAGGGGGTAAAATACTGGTTGACATCTAGTAAATGCTTGCAACATCCCAGGTGCTATGTTAAGCACTTTGCATGTGTGTCTAATTTAATCCTCCCAATGAATTAGGGTTCTATTATTATTCCCATTGCCCAGATGCAGAAACTGAGGTTTACAGAAGTTTAGTTATTTGCTACCACAAAGGAGTGATACATTTTACAAGGAAAATCTTCACCGAAGTGGTGATGTTGAAGCCATCTTAAAAACCAAGTAGCTGTTTGTCAAGTAGTCAGCACCAGGAAGAAGAAAGTGGACAGGGGGCACTTTAAGAAGAGGGATCAGCTTGTAGCGAGGCTCAAAAACAGGAAATGACCTGGAAAAGCCCACTGGGATTAGACTGTGAAAGACTATATAGGGAGTTGGACAATCATGCATCATTGGAATCTTTTTGGTAGGAGAGTCACAGGATCAGATTTGTTGGGTGGACTAATGATTTTATAGTGTCTTTTGGAATAATGTTTTGTCTTCTTCATTTATTATGGCTACAATTTACTCTTTTTTTTTTTTTTTTCAAGATGGGGTCTCACTGTGTCTTCCAGGCTGGAGTACAATAGCGCGACCTTGTCTCACTGCAACCTCCGCCTCCCGGGTTCAAGTGATTCTCCTGCCTCAGCCTCCTGAGAAGCTAGAACTACAGGCATGCTCCACTACACCAGGATAATTTTTGTATTTTTAGTAGAGACGGGGTTTCACCATGTTGGCCAAACCTGACCTCAAGTGATCCTCCCACCTCAGCCTCTCAAAGTGCTGGGATTAAAGGTGTGAGCCACCGCGCCCGGCCCATTTACTCTTAATTCTCCACCACTTGCATCTGATTCCCTATTTTATCATCCTAGTGTAGTGTATATTTGTGCCACCTATTTAAATCCTCTTGGGAAGGAGACAAGAAATAAATACCTACTTACTTATAAATACATGAGGATGTATACCGTGTGGGTCAAGCAGATCAGGGAAGAGAAGATGTCAAGAGAGACCAAGAAGAGGGCATTGGAGAAAAAGACAGAGTAGTAAAGAGATGGGTCACAGAAGCCAAGAGGAGAGAGCATTAGAAAGAGGGAGCAGCTGACTGGCAGCATGTCACATGTTGCCAAGAGGTTAAATTGGATGAAGACTAAAAAAAGGCCTTGGGATTGAGCGATGAGAAGGTCACCAGGGACCACAAGGAAACTTCATTGCCCTATTGCATCAGACACAAATGGGAGATGAAGAAGTAGAGCCAGGAAGGACAAGCACACAAGTTCAAGAAATTTGTAAGCAGGAAGAAAAAAGAACCGTGGATTAACTGAGGGGAGGAGGCTTTTATTTTCTTGTTTTGTCTTGTAGTTTTTAGGGAGTGGATGCAAACACAGATGGGAAGGTAAGCTTCAACAGGATGCCATCAGGAAGAAGCATGAAGAAAGAGATAAACCCCGAGGTGGAATGAACCCTTTGGCAGTGGAAATATCCGACCATGGAGAAGGTGAGAAAGCTCAAATCTAAGTTCTGGGTTTCCCCTGCATTGATAGCTGAGGGACTGACATGTGCGTGGTGATTGGAGGAACTTGAGAAGCGAGTTTCTATCCTTTCCCCTACAGAAATACTGTGGGAGGCATTGCTCCAGAGGCAGACTCCTGGCACTCCTATTCCTGCCCCCCACCCTCACACACACTCAGTGCACGTCCCTAGGGACAGTCCCTTCTCTGGGCCTTATTTTTCCTGCCTGAGGCTCCTGGTGGGAGTGATGCTACCTTGGGGGAGTCTCAGAGAGAAAGTGGAGCACACAGGTGGGAAGGAAAAAAGGAGGGAGGCAGGGACAGCATAAGCCAGGGCTTGGCTATGCCAGCTCAAGGTTCAGGGATTCCATATTCTAATTCCAGCTTCTCTTAAAGGGCTGGGTTCTCTCTGATTGATGGATAATTCCTGTTCTGCCTATTCTGCAATCATGCTTCCATTTCCATTCCAAAGATGAACTCAAAGAAACTTGTATCCAAAAAAAGGCTTAAAAAGTAGTGGTGACTCGGAAGGGCGAGGCCTGTGGCTGCTGGCGGCATGTATGTCATGCCGCCTATTCCTGAGTGCTTACATAATCGCAGTGCAGCCGTGACTCACGGCCCAGCAGCCAAGCTGAAACGTGATTAAGTCCTACAACCCTTCTGTCTGGAGCAGGGCAAGGCATGCTGTTTAACCCCTCTGCTGCCACAGCCTGGTAGAGAAGGTAGTGCCCTTGGGTAGACAGCTCCTCCAGATGGATGAGTCCAACGCATTGGGAAAGGACCCCTGACCTGCATAAATATTCTCTGAGACAGCAGCAAAAGGTCTTTCATTCCACAGACACAGATACTCCTGGGAGAGGTGACACATGGAATCCCTGCATTTTAAAGCTGAGAAAACTTTAGACTTACCCAAGTTGAGTCATCCCCTTTAACAGATGAGGTTACCGAGGCCCAGTATCCAGTGAGAGATTAGCGACCACTCAAGGTCACACTGTGAGAGTGCAGCAGAGTGGGGACTTGAACCTGGGTCTCCTGGCAGCAAGTCCAAAATGTGGTAGCCCTGATGACCAGTTGAGAAGATTGCCCCTCTATATTCCAGGTTGCAAGCCAAGTGGTTCCGCACTTCACCGTAGCCTGCGTGCACCTGCTGTCTTCATACAGCCCTAGCAAGAATGACCCCAAAAGAGTTGTTCCTTAATCTCCAAGCTCTACTTAAAAGTCTCACAGCTGGAGTTCTGGGGAGAACAGTATTTGGATTCAGACCGAATCTCCAGCTCTGGAGTCTGTCCACAGGGATGTGGTCGTGTCTGACACTTCCTAGCTCAGTGACTTGGGGCATCTATTTGAGTCTCAGTCACTTCATCTGTGAAACGGGGATAAAAACAGTAGTGTTGCTGTGAAATCATTGAAATAATTTGTGAGAAGTGCCTGTCACAGTGCCTGGCATGCAGTAAGTGCTCACAAGTAGTAACTGCTACTCCAGTGTTAGAAGCACGGCTGCCTTCACGAAGGACAGGGAGTTCCTGCTGGAAGCACTCAGAGAATGCTGCCTTCAGGTTGACCCCCAACACTCACAGGCCTCATGATAATCTCAGTGCAAGAGCTTCTCTATAAAGACCTCAAAGCTCCATCAGCCAGCTAGACACTGTGCGATTTGAATCCTGTCCAGGCCCCTGCCCTGCGGTTGCTGACATCCAGATGGAAAGATCTGGATTGCCACATCCTACCTGGTGTTATCTCTGGTAGTGGCAGCAAAGGATTATCTGATGGGGAACGGCTCCACAAAAGGTTAAAATGCCATCCCCTTCCCCAAAAACGTCTGTCCTGGTTTCACTTAATAACCAAATGATTCTGTCATCCAAGCGTTCATCTAGATAAATGATTGCAAACAAATATTTTATTTTTATAATTGTCCTATTCAAACACGTCTAAAGCCTGTATTCTAGGGGAAAGGAACCTATAAATATTAACAGTAGTGAGATAAGCACTGGACTGGGGACAGCAGGAAGAGGGGAAGGGAGGGTGAGGAGATGGCTTGAAAATAGAGAAGAAAGCAAAACCCTGCACACTGAATGGCGAGACCCCCTCACCCTTCCCCTGCTTATTTCCAAGAATGCTGGCAATCAGGTTCATATCCTCCAGGAAAGAAACTAGAGGATCTTAATCTGGAAAAATGAATCACACTGGAAGAAAGTCCTACAGATCCTACAGATACTGACATTTGGAAGCATCTCAGTGCAAAAATCCTATCATTGCACAATTGTACTGTAGCAGTTGGCCTCAACCCTATCAGACTCAACACCTTCTTTTTTGTTGTTGTTTTTTAACAGCTTTATTGAGGTATAGTTGATATTCAGTAAAGTACTCATGATCAAGATGTGCAATTTGGAAATTTTTGACATATGCATGCACTCATGAAATGATCACCATAATATGATCACCAAAATCAAGATTAAAAACACAACCATTCCCCAGAAGTTGCCTTGTGCCATTCATTGCCATTTTCTGTCCCAGTCTCCATTCCCAGGCAATCGCTGATCTTCTTTTGGTCACTGTAGGGTTAGCTTACATTTTCAAGAATTTTATAAAAATTGAATTATATGACATGTCTTTTTGTTTGTTTGTTTGTTTGTTTCTTTTGAGGTGGAGCCTCCCCCTGTCACCCAGGCTGCAGTACAGTGGCATAATCTCTGCTCCACTGCAGCCCTTGCCTCCCACATTCAAGCAATTCTGCTGGCTCAGCCTTCCAAGTAACTGGGATTACAGGCACCCACCACCACACCTGGCTAATTTTTGTATTTTTAGAAGAGACGGAGTTTTGCCCTGTTGGCTAGGCTGGTCTTGAACTCCTGACCTCAAGCAATCCACCTGCCTCAGCCTCCCAAAGTGTCGGTATTACAGGCATGAACCACCACACCCGGCCAATATGTCCTCTTTTTGTCTGGTTTCTTTCACTCAGCATAATTATATTTTGAGATCTGACCATGTTGCAGGTACCTTCAACTTTCTTTTTAAAGCAAAAAATATTGAAATATCTCTTTTACTATGTGAAATTAAATTCATAGTTAAAATAGTCAACCTACACATTATTTTCTTTAAATTATAATGTCCTTATGAAGGAGAAAAAAAAAGGGAAGTAGTTCATGGCCCAAGATGGTTTACTAAGTAGGCACATGGGCAGCATACCTGGGAGACATAATGAAACAGTTAGATGCTTTCATCTTTTACAGTGAACACGTCCAACCTTAAAAGAAGTTAGACCATATTCAACTGAATATTGTTGATACCATTTTCATTTTATTTTGTCATGTTTCTTATATTTGCCATCTTGAAATAAGGTCTAAGTCAGTGCATTGGAACCCCTCTGGGTAAGAGGGACAATTGAACACCTCATTTTTGCAATTGCAAAAATTATCTGCATATTTGATCATGAGCAGTGCTGTTGCCATTGATATGTTTTTCTAAATGGTGACAACCCTTGGTGAAGTTCTAAACAAAACAAAGTCCAATCTCCTCTCAATTTACATAGCAGCTGCATTTCAAAAAATCACAGGGTATGTTAAATCCATGTGAAAAACGTATTCGTATTTATATATAAAGCAGAGCCGATATCAAGAATCAAATCATTATAAAGAGCTTTTCACCTACATAACTGTGCAATAGGACACAGAATAGGACAGAGACAGGGTTGCCAGATTTGGCCCATAAACATAAAATATTTGAGACATACTAATACAAAAAAATTTATTTGTTGTTTATCCAAAATTCAATTTTAACAGAGTGTCCTTTATTTTAGGTGGTAGCCCTAGATACAGGACAATCTGTGTTGCGTGGAACTGTCCTGCAATCCAAGTAGCATTCTCAGCCCCCACATATTAAATGTTAGTAGGCCCCCCAATAACTGCGATAACTAAAAATGCTCACAACTTTCCAAACTGCCCAGGAGCTGCCCCTACTGAGAACCACGGTCCTACAAAGGAGACCACTAGAAGCAAGCCCTACCCCTGCCCATAGAGCCCTTATCAGCTTCTTAGTGATTGACTCAAATATTAATGAATGGTTAAGGATCCACAGACATTTGAAAAAGACCTCCAAGGTGAAAAACAAAGGCCAGAACAGAGAAAAGGGACTTGAAGAAAAGAACAAGAAGAAAAACAACTTTAGGGGAAAAACTGTATGTATCCTTTGGAGAGATAATAGCAGGAAGAGGATGCTATAGAAGGAGGAGGAGGAGAAACAGGAAACCTATAAGAGAAGTTGGAAATTAAATATGATAGCCACCGTCAAAAAAAAAAGTCAATAGGAAGGGTGGAAGGTAAATTCAAGGGAGTCTCCCCAAAAACAAAACAAAATAACTAGGTGGTAAACAATAGGGAAAGAAAATGAGCCAGAAAATTAAAGGATCAATTCAGGGAGTCCAATATTCAATTAACAAGAATTCTAGAAAGAGCAAACAAAACCTTGAGAGAGAAGAAACTTATCAAACAAATAATAGTAAAAAAAAATGCTTCAAACAAAAAGATTAAAAGGGCCTATCAGGTACCAGAAAAAGAATACAACTTATGTCATGATCATATTTCAGAACACCAGGGAGGAACAGAAGTTTCTAAAGGAAGAAAATATTATATCCAAATAACTAAGAATAAGAATGGCCACTTCTTAACTGTAATAGAAAAAGCTAGAAAACATAAAGTACTGCTTTCCAGGTTCTAAGACGAAAAATTTATTTTCAGTCTAAAATTCTATACCCAGCCAAATTATCGATCAGGCATGAGGACAAAGAAAAATATAGGCTTGAAAGATCTCAGAAAACTTTTCTTCCATGCACTCTCTCTCAGGAATAGTTATTTAAGAACATGTTCCATGAAAATGAGAGGGTCAATGAATCAAAAAAGAGAAAGACTTAGGATTCAGGAAATTAGATCAAACTCAAGTAAGAGTCAAAAGGGATTTCCATGTTGATGAAGGGAAGGCCCAGAGCCATGCT